TAGACTTGTGCCGGTATTCGGTAATGCGATATATCACGATAATGAATATGCGCGATATTGTTATCGTGGGCACTTCTAAATACGTGAATAATTATATATAACAAATTATTACGAATTTTTAATGCATTTTAAGAATACTTTTCCCATCAACTGGTCAAAATGCACAACAGCGCTGTATGCTGCGTGAAAGACGCATGCGCACTCTGATGTAAATAAGCGCGGACGTGAAGCACATGGCGGAACATGTAAGAGAAATAATAATAATAATAATAATGATTCATTTAAATGCAGCCGTTACCCCGGAAGCCCTGTAAACAAAGCAGCTGCACTGCTTCCTGTTTCTGAATCATGTTTAAATGATTTAAACAGCCATTCAGATTTGTGTATTTGCTATGATGTTCATCACAGCGCCAAATACTTATATATTTAGACCTAATAGGCTATTTATTTTCAAACTTTTTTCACATTTTAATCTGGACTACAACATGCCCTAGATATTGTTTGAAAGTGTTTTGATTCTTTATTGTTCGGTTACACTTTACATTAGGGCTTCATTAGTTAACATTAGTTAATTCATTAGTTAACAAACTGCCAATGAAAAATTCTTCTGAACATTCATTAATCTTAGGTATTCCAATATTTAATAACAGGTTGTTCAAATCGAAAGTTGCAGCTGTGGTGTTATTTAATGAGCTAACGTGAACTAAGACTTGTATTTTTTTTAACAAAGATTAATAACTTATGTAGCAAATGTAGCTATTGCTCATTGTGAATGTTAATGCATTAACTAAGGTTAACTAATGAGGTCTTATTGTAAAGTGATACCTATTGGTCTTTATAGTTCTTTTGCACTTTAATCTGTGTAAAACTTTTAACTTTATACATTTTTCTGTATTGCTTTATTGCATTTAAATGTTCAGTAAATTTTGTTATAAGAAACATGTTATTAAACCTGTTATACTGTATTATGACAGCACTTTTTTAAACTAAATTTCAATATCGTGATAATACCGCATACCGTGATAAAAGCATTAGCAATTAATCGCAACATGAAAATTTGATATCGGCATATCCCTACATGAAATATGTACGTATATGTTTTAATTCATTTACGCTACCAGGAAAAAGTTTTTTTTTCTAAAAAAAAAAATTAATACTTTTATTCAGCAAGGATGTATTAAATTGATAAATTGAATTAATTGATTAAATAGATCTTTATAATGTCCTGGCATAGAATTACCAGCACATTTCAATTAAGTTTAAAGACATTTCTTTCAAGCCTAAAACACAACAAAATGCAATGCATAATTCGAAATATATGGGTAAAACACCTGTGAAAAATCAGTACCAAAAATTCTTTCATATTCTTTCATATTGAGTAATGGGTGCTAAAAATTCAACTTTGCCATCACAGGAATATATTACATGTGAAAATATATTAAAGTAGTACATTTGTACAGCTATTTTAAATTGTACAAATATTTCATCATATTACTGTTTTAACTGCATCTTGATGAAATAAATGCAGCCTTTGTGACCATAAGAGACTTTCAAAAACCTTAATGAATCTTACCGACCCCAAACTTTTGAACGTGTACATACTGTACTCGTAATCCCTGTTTACCTTCGTCTGTAATTTAAAGACTCCATATTATTCTTTCAGTTGCTGCATATGAATTTCAACCTCTTGCTTTTGCCTTTTTTCATGTCAAATTTCTTATTGAGTTACATCCTTCTCATCCATAACTTTCCTTTTGTTTCCCTTGCTTTCTCATTTTCTTTCTTTTTCATTTTTTTTTTCTTTACACTGCCATGGCTTTTTTTCCATTCATTAGCATTCTTCAGGCTCATTGAGCACTTTGATGTGCCGTGTTTCAGTGAGGCTCGTGAGCAGCTTACTTAGACGTTTACGATGGTTCTTTCAGTGGTCCCAAAACTCAGGGGACTCAGACAGAGGTCTGACCTGATGGCAGACATAAGGAGCTTAGTACCAGTCTACACAGCAGCACATTATGTACCAGTAACTGCATATTTGGCCTATTCCACACTATGCACATGGCAGTTTAAGGGGAAATGTTTCTTATAGTGAACTGCAATTGCCTGATTTGACCCAAATTAGTGATTTGAATTTATTATTTACATAGAATTAATTATCAGATTACTGATGAGATTATAATATTTATTTCTCTTTCCTTCAGCTCCTCGGACAAACTTTGCAGCGGAGAATGGTGAGTGACCATATACTCCTGAGAATTGCTGGGTGCTCATATGGTTTTGGCAACATATATGATTCTCATAATTTTTTGGCAAGGCTTTTAACCCCAGGGAGACTGTGTCTGTAGTCTGTAGTTACTTTATTTTGCATAAATAAAAGAACAGATAAATATTTGCAGTGTTATCAACACAGATTCAAGCCTGGTCACTAACGCCCTCTACTGTACACTTACGAACAAGGCAGTCAAAATTTAACAAACCTTTTCTCATATAGTGAGGTTGTTTTATAAATTGATGTTTATTGTTCTGTCTTATTATTATTATTATTTGAAGACTACATATCCAAGTCAGCCTCTTTGCCCGGATATGGCAGGAATGGATTGCCCAGGGGAAGTTTCACTGTAAACAAAGCACTCACAGCAGATGGGGTGGAAAT